ATACAGGCAGCAATCTTAAGAAATTCCAGTTCTGAATGGCTTGACCTGAGAGCTTGAATACGTCAGAGTTGACAGCACAGGGCTTAGTGAGAGCATCAGATCCTTTGTACTTGAACAGTTTTATTCGCTGGTTCAAAAGTGAATATGTAAACCATTTATTTTTCTTAATAAAATACTTTTAAGTACAGTGCAACATCATAGGATAAGACACCCTCAAATATGTCATGGCCTAAACAAGGTGGGAGACCTGGCTTGCAAACATGAAAAACTGTGAAGTCCACTGAGACAAATGTAACATTTGTGATATTGGGCTATATAAATAAACATTGATTGATTGGTGTCAGAGCATTGAAGACAGAGTTTGCCTTTATGCCTTTGATGTGTGGACTGTCTTCAACTTGTAGATCAGCAACAGCAGAATCGTAACCTTCGGGTGTGCGCTGTGAACCACATACATTTGCATCATCTCTCTTAAACTCACTTTGTGTGATTTCACAGTAAATGTTTTTCAACATCTTTTTGAATGTCTGAGCTCTTCAATATATGTTGTTCTCAGTGGTCCCTGGTGACAGACTGACAACAGATCCTTCACACAATCACAGATTTTAGCAATAGCATCATCAGTTAAAGACATGTCATCTTTTAAAAGTGAACGTAGTTTACTTAAAATGTAATCCTGTCCCAACTCATGCACATTTTGCATCTCTTCGACAATGGTCTGTATTGTTGAAGCTGGAAGAAGGAGCTGCCCTTGCAATTTTAAGTAGAATAATTATAGATTCCTAAGATAGGTCTCATTGAAATGCTGTGGCAAATCAGTGCTTTCATTTGTTGTTGCATCATTTGGGCTCTGGGAAGCATCTTCATGTGCAGAACACGGAGAAATAGCTTTCCGTGTTACTGGACATGCCACAGTTCGCTCCTGCACTATATGATCTTTTAAGTGGGATATAAGTTCTTCCACTGTTTGAAATTGGCGCGTACATAACGAAATTGCACATATCAAATCTGTAACAACGGCTCTAGCAGTGGCAGAGGCTGCAGGCACATTGTGAATCCGATAAAAGTGAGCTTTAAAAGCTGCGTAAGTACAAAATGTGCGCTTCCAACACATTTGAAAAAACACTGGGGTTCGTTCCTATGCACTCTACAATGCAGCACATAGCCCCTCAAAGTCTGTAGCGTTTTGCTGGAAAAATGGCAGGTAATCATTTTTAGCACGCTAACAAGACTGCCTTCACAACAGCATGAATTAAACGAAAAGAAAGAGTTCAGCTTTCAGCATAATACTTCACTAACGTTACCAGACTATTTAAATTAACTCCCGGTCAGTAGACGTTATAACTATGACTGCAAAATACACTCAATCACAAACAGAAGCTAGTATTTTCTTGACAACACACCGTCTTATAATTCAAGTTTGAAGAAAATAAACGGTTTACTTACCAGTGCTACAGATCATGATCCTCCACTCTTCATCTGCACACAGCTCTGTGCGCAGGCAGACTTGGCCGCGCACTCGAGCCGTAAAGCTCCTTACACACCAAACTGACACCAAAGAACACCAAAGAACACGTCCCAACGGAACGTCGGCTCACGTCACCTCACGTCGCCTCACGTCTCCTGTGTCTTGGCCATGTGTCGCACTGGAACACACCGCAAAGACTTCAGCCGACGGCCAAGAAGCACGTAGGAACTGCGCATGCGTGAGTGGCAATAACTCTCCTTACCAGCAGGCGGCGGTAGTGTGTATTCGTCATTCAAAAAGAGGCAACAACCGGAAGAAAGACTGTGTGATAACCGAGAGAAGAAGAACAGACTGCGTGATATAAACAAACAACAAATGGCGTGTGCGTTCCATTTTCACTCTACAGCGAGAAGCTCATGGGGCTTTCCCGAACCTGTGTCGAGAGCTGGAGTTAAATGAAATCTCAGATTTGCCTTCTTAATAGTTTGTTTGGGTCCCTCACTTCCGTTTTGCTTCTCATGCACTGATTCGCTAGCTGAACAGCCAATCAGAGTGATTTATTTGGCCGACAGCCTACCGATTCAACATGTCGCTTGGAATAAAGCTTTAGGATTTTGTTTTTGTATTTTGTGTTGGGGTTCTCACCTGCTTTGTGTTCTTACACAAACCGGCCTTTATATTTCTAAACAGCAAATCAGTGCTTTCATTTGTTGTTGCATCATTTGGGCTCTGGGAAACATCTTCATGTGCAGAACACGGAGAAATGGCTTCCCTGTACATGTCACTTATGCTATCAACAGAACATGCTCTAGAGGTCGAGAGTTACATAAACAGAAGTAATGCATAAAACTGGTTATTTAAAAATTATTTCACTTAAAAAGGCACTTGGTGTAAATACTACATTTAAAGTACAATTTATTTAAGTGATTTTTAAGGGGTTACTTTAAATAGAAAAGGCTAAAGGGCCATGGCAATGAGCATCAAGGCGCAACATTTCTGCTTATCTCCTCAAATGCTTGTTGCCGACTTCTGGAGTGAGGGGTGTAGAGGTGTATCTTTGGGTGTGTGGAAAGGTCAATTTCTCGTTATGCAGGTCCTGTGTAGAGCAGATATTATGTTGACCGGCTAAATTGGCAATCTGGTCAATTGAAACTGGAAACTGACCTACATCAGCATGCTGTTCCATCACTGATGATAAGTAATATGATTAATACACTGATATGTTTGTTACAAACAGACCAAGAGAGACACTATTTTCTGACAGGTTGTGCCCAATTTACTGCTGGGCCAAGGCCAGAAAAAAATCCACCAGCTGAGGTTCCAAGAAAACCAAAAAACGACCAATGTGGCAACGCTTTGGATTTGAACTTGCACCACACCAGACAGTGATGCAGCCAGGCCTGCAGTTCTAATGATGCTGGCTCTCGTGTGCTCTACCCCCAATTACAGACAAACACAATGTGCTTAAGCTAATAACACACAAACATGTATAATCTTTCATGTCTTTATTGAACTCACCCATTAAACATTTGCATTGCTAATGGCAAAGCAAGTGAACTTAAGCCATTTCTTTTGGGATAAGGTCTTGGCTTTGAACAGCTCTAAACAGATTCACTTTGTACTAAGCCATTGTGTATTAAATTGACATCGATATTTCGGGTCATTGTCCTGCTGCACCACCACCCAACGTCGGCTGAGCTTCAGCTGGCGGATAGCCTCTCTCACATTATCTGTAGGATGTCATGGTAAACATTGAAGTTATTATTTCCCTTGGTCGCATGCAGTTCAGGCCCAGAGTCAGCAAAGCAGCCCCATATCAGGATACCCCCCCCCCACCACCGGGAAGATGTTTTCATGTTTGTATGTATGTTTCCGTTTTCATAGCAGAAACGTTTAATTAGACTACAAAACATTTTCCCAGTAGTGTTGTAGAGTATTGAAGTGCTCTGTGGCAAACTTCAAATGGTGTTATTTTTTAGAGTGGGGGCTTCCTCTGTGGTGTCCTGCTATGGACCCCTTCAAGCCTTCAACTGTAACTCTGGGGTTCTCTTTAACCTCATTGATTATTCTGCGTTTTGCCTTTGGATATATATTTTGTAGGCAGCCACTTCTAGAAAGAGTGATACAAAGAATGGGATTGATGTATATCTTAACTTATGAAGATTACTTTGTAAACCTTTCCAGCTTTATGAACCTGCCTGGTCGCCCGCAGGATGCTTTCTAAAAATAGTGTGAGTCATCACTTAATAAATAAATAACTTTTGTCTTACATGAGTAAAGAAAATAAAAATGTTTGTTACTGTGGACTTTCAAGTCATTCAGAGGGAAAGGGTCTCCTCTCTGCTGCTGCTGCTGCTGCGGGGGGCTGCGGCATGCTGCAGGATTTCCGCCCCGTGTAGCGAGTATTTTCAGGACTTCTGATCCCTTTGCTGGGAGAAATGTTTCAAAACTTGTGAACTCTGTCTGAAGTTTTTCTGCTGATTCAGTCTCTGTGTATCAGCAGTCTCTGCAGTGAACAAAAGGAACACGTCTGTCCGACGTAAACACTCCGACACTCACCTTTAAATCGTGCTGTTCATATTTAACTGTTGGTCCCAATCGCAGCAGCGTGACATTGTCCTCCACTTTCACTGCAGTGGGAACATACTCTCTAGTCTGCTCCGTGTCTATTTATTTTCTTCTCAGAGAGTACCAGAATGCATAGTTTACATGTTAATATTTAAACAAATCTTCTTCCCATCCCATCACATTTCAAAACAAAGTGGGAAACATTGGAAACAGTAATATGTAAAAATATTGTTATCATATGTAGCCTATTATATGTATAATATTTATTATTCAAAGGAAAACTGCTGATGTATATTCTTCAGATAAATTATATCAAACTAGTAACCCTCCGTATTCCTCGTTATCCTTCAGGTAGCTCTCAGTGTCAAAAAGGTTGGTGACCCCTGCTAGTGACTTAACAATAGATGTTGAAACTGCTAGAAGTGAGTCTTAATATTATAATTTTTCACTGACAATAAGTGTAAATGTCAAGTTTAAATGCATCTGTATTAAGGGTGAGTTAACCAAGTGATTTTCTTTTAAGGAGCAGTTGCAACAATATCTCATTAGTCATTGTACTCTAAACATCTATTTTATCATGAATCCATAAGAAATGAAAGCATTTAACACAAAGTCTCAATACTTCAGAACAATCTCAGTTACCATCTTAAGCTAAAGAGAGAGCTAGACACATAATATATGCTCATCAACGGTCCAATAGTTTAGAATTATCCTTTAATAAACAATATCTGTGTGAGATCTGAGTTCAGTGTCACAGTGTGCAATGTTTCATTCAGCTTCAGCCTCTCTCATACTATGAGAGTATTCTTTAATAGGGTGACCTAGTTCTCGGCATATGCAGCTAACAGTGTGATACAATTTGTTCAACCTGCAGAATGCTAAAGCCTTCGTTTGATCCCATTCCTGCTCACAAATACTCTTTCTAACTCCCATTACGCCACTGTGTCTGTCCTCTGCTCCATCAGGCCCTGGGGAGGAAATGGGAGCCAAGGCATCGTTGGTGGAAGATCCGGTTCCTGGGTCTGCTATGGTAACTTCTCCCACTCTGGACAACATCCGGGCAGCCTATGAAGAAGGAGAGAATGAGGCTGCCAGGGAGCTGATTCAACAGGCCTGCTGTGTAGAGTGCAGCGCAGCAGTGCCTCACATCGATGGGGTGAGCACACGTAACATTTAAGATTTAAAGATGTTACTGTTACTATTGAGGGAGGCCACAGAGAGACCTCCATCACTCAGAGTTCATTTATATAGCCCAATATCACACATTGACATTTATCTCAGTGGACTTTACAGTATGTACAGAAAATAAATATGAACACAACACCCTCTGTCCTTTGACCCAGACCTCGGACAAGGAAACACCTCCAAAAAGATTGGAGAAACCTCAGGGAGGGCAACAGAGGGGGATCCCTCTCCCAGGACGGACAGACCTGCAGTAGATGTTGTGTGTCAATTAAAAAGATAACACATTTACAACATAGGTAGTCCACATTTTTGAAAAGACCACTTCTATAAATAAGAAGATGATGAAGATGAATCCAGGTGGATGTCAACATTCCTCTGGATAAGAGAAGTAGTAAGGTGAGCATCAGGCAGGACCACAGCAACAGGAGTGAAGGTGCCCCAGCCAACCATATCAGGAGCTCTGCATGATACTGGCCTGTATGGGAGGTTTTTTTTCTCAAGAACAACCATACAGTATCAAAGCTTCTGGAGTTTGCCAGTAGGCACAAGAGAGAACCAGAAGGACGAGCGCTCTAATGAGATGAAGATGGACATATTCAAAAATTCAAGGTGCTATGTGTGGTGCAAAGCATACACTGCCTCAGGACACACTGCTAGGGAGGAACTTGACCTTTCAGCAGGTCAATGATTCCAGACACCAAACAGAGAGGATAATGCCATGCAGTGGCCAAGGCAAAGTCCAGATCTCCTCCCATCCAATCTGTGGCACTTTTTGAAAGCTGCGGTCCACAAGCATCATCCAACCGACCTGAAAACCTGGAGCAGATCTGCAGAGGAGAGCGGTCAGAAATCCCTGTGAACACTGCGCCCAGCTGCTAGACATTACCCTCAAAGACTTCCTGCTTTTACTTCACCAAAGTCTGCTCTACCAAATACTAATGTGTAGGGGATGACACTGATGCAGGCAGCAATTTTCTGTTTTTAATTTTCTTTAAAAGATTTACTGAAGGATAATTAATGTTGTCAATGAAAGTATACCTTTTTTTCCCAAGAGCCCCCCCCCAAATGACTCCTGTTGGAAGTTGCGCCCCCCCCCCCCCCCCCACACACACACAAAGGGGGGACAGTGGTAATTAAAGTTTAAAAGTCTCAAAATGCTACAACTACTGTCACAAACTGGATGAATGTGAAGTATTTTGTTAAAGGAGGATGAAAGCGTAATTAAGGAGCACTATTGGAGTGACTGATGGTTATTGGACTCAGGATTAATTCATTTGGATTCCCGCTGTATGAAGAAATTAAAGGACGGCGCGCAAGTGTAAACAATTCACAAAGGGATTAAACTATTTAAAACACATGCTCAAAGTAAGCCAGATTTTGCCGATGTGTTTATGTGGATTCAAAAGTCGTAAATAATCTACAAAATGGAGGAGACCGATCTGATCGGAGGAACTGTGACAAATAATCCAACTGAAACCGACATGGACAATGACTATGTTTTAAAAATGCGCTTATCCAGACAAGCCCGGTTTGGACACTTTACGAGCAGAAGAAATATTTCTATTAAAGAAAGAATTATACATTGCTGTCTTTTTATGCCTTTAATAGCTATACTAACTTGAATTTGTATTCAAATGAATTAATCAATTATTTGATATATTTTGTATTGTATTGTAGAGACAAGGCTTTTAGTGACAATCATGTATTGCGTTACAATTATATGTAAAAAAAAAAAAAAAAGTCTAAATATGATATTTGGCCTCAAATCATCTGAGGCCTGGCGCCCCCCCTGCGATCTTTGGGAACCCCAGGTTGGGAACCACTGTTTTAGAGCATATGACTTTCTATAAAAACACTGAATGGAAAAATGTGTTTGTGTATCATTTGTGATTCAGACAAATCTGATACTCTTGCAAACCACTGTACATATGACTACTCCAATGATGAATCTGTGTCTTTGTTTGTGCGTGTTCCTACAGGTTGGTCTTCTTTGTGTTGCCTCTCAGCATGGTGATCTGCAGAGTGTCTCTTACCTCCTGAGAGAAGCCCGTATCATTTTACTTCAGGAACCATCCAGCAGCAACCCAGCCATCCTGGCAGCGTACTACGGCCACGCCAGCGTGGTCAAAGAGCTGCTGGACTCCATCCCTGGTAAGAGGAAAAGAAACAGTTTAAGATTCATGATATATGGAACAGGGCAAACCTTTAGTTTCACAAGTAACATGTACTGTATACAATACATTCATTGAATCGAAGGCCAGTTGATGTCCTGAAGTTTATTAAATGATATATTCATTGTGTGTTACTGCTGTCAAAGTTAATGCTAAACCGCTTTGCAATATTTTAAAAAGAGACACTCCACCATTTTAATGTAAATTTTATATAATGTCCCCTGTGTCTCTGAAAATAATTCCAACAATGTGTTTGTGATGTCCACGGGTTATCTCAGCCTGGACTTTGAGATGCAAATTTATATAAAAAAAAGAAACCTGAGTTACAAACTTGAGGTGTGCAGTTGGTCAAGCGATGTATTTTAACCAGAAAGTGAGGGTCTAATAAAGTTATAGAAAGGGATCGAATTATGGGAATTGTATGACTCAGTAATTCAACTGACTTCACTAACATTCAGTATATCCGGACCACACAGGACTCTTTACAGGACAAATACTTTCTAATAACATTCATTTGTTTTCCTCCTTGGTTAATCTATTCCGCTTGCTGGTGTTACTATGTCACATAATCCTAACATGACCTTGCTTTTGATTAAGACTCACACCATGTCCTCACCTTGACCTGAGCGTGCTGGAGAGTATGACACTGGTACATTTTAAACGGTTTAATACCAAACTGTAAGTAGAATATGAATATATACTTTTTTTACAAAAAATATAGAGATTGAGTATCTTACACACCAAAATAATATCATTTTTGACCTTCCTTTCAACATTGACAGAACCATTGTTGAGTATGTCAGGGAATAATTTCCATAGATGTTTACCTTTTGCCCTCTGACGCAGATGACCAACCTTGGCCATCTGTTATCTCCCTTGAGGAGGGGGGCTGTTTTGACCATTTGTTGTTGTTGCCAGTTTATGACACGGCAACTTTAGGTCAGAGATGGTTTTATTGTTACGACCGGGCATCTTGCGGTCAAAGATAGTTTATTGTTACGGGGAGATTTGGAACGCTTCCTTCTCGGGCTTGATGACTCGAAAGGTGTGAAATCTTCGAGGCCATTAGCATCAACTGCAAGTAATTCAGTGTCCCCAGCTGTTTAGGCTATCTAGTGAAATGTTGATTACTCTCAAGCAAACCAGTTAAAAGTTCTTACGAGAGAAAGGTTCTTCAGAATTGATTGTGGCAACTCTACCGTGCAGTCAGAACCTCTGACTCCTGACTTGTTTTGTGAATTCTCCGGCCGAAGCTCCAAATAAACCATCAGTGTTTGACATCAAAGCTCCAGCTCTCCATCGTGTCTCTTTTGAGTCCTGACTCCAATTGCTACAGAAGTTTCCCCCACAGAGTAAATAATGGGTCTGATGGGTTCCGCATGGTAATTTGAAATGGTCTGTTGGACTAAAGGAAGCCCTGCAGTGTGTGTGTTGGTTGATGAAGAGTCCTCACACTAATCTCTGGGCTACCTCTCAGGTCCATGTCTGAGGAGAGACTTGTTGAACTTTATGCTGGCGACATCCTGCCAGCAAGGTCAGCTGGACGTGGTGCGGCTGCTGGTCCACGGCTACGCTGCTGACACCAAGGACTGTGCCGTCCACAGCGATGAGTTCGCTGTCATTACGGGGCTGCCACTGTATGCTGCTGCACAAGCAGGTAGGGTAATATACACAAACAATCCATCTTTATTCAGTTGGAAAATAAATACCACATTTGTACTATTCCTGTTACTCCTATTCTACTCCCCTTTGTCTCCTCTGAGTATCCCTTTTAGATGGTTAACATAATGATTGCACACCTTGATCAATTTCAGTGTCAGTGGCCGGAAGAAGGAAAGAAACATAATTAGCCAAATGGAAAGCATGTGTGTACTCATACTGATACACACTTTTACACTTGAATTGCTGGGTGGTGGTTGGTTATGTGTGTCTATTTAAGGAGCCAAGACAACCTGATTATGCACTGAAACATTTTTGAAGAGATCATGTCTGTTTTTATGTTTACATTTGTCATGCAGAAATACAATCTAATTTACACTTGTATATTTATTACGTGATTATAAAGTAATGAAAAGGACACATTACTGCTCAAATGAAATCAATGAATCAAATTTCATTTTTTCATTCCAATATCCTGTACTACAAATTAGCCTCAGGGGTCTTTACAGTCTGTACAGCAATTACACTTCTGTCCAAAGACCCTGGCAGAACCTCCTGTAATCACAAAACTAAGTGTGAGCCTCTCCGCTCACACAGGGTTCAATGAGGGACGGAAAGAGCAGGGTTTGGTTGTAACACAGGGGTTTATTGTTAAACATACACAAAACACGTTGCCCTTGCAGGATCCTTCACAGGTCCTTTGGCGTCCTTCCAGGATCCCGCCTACTGCAAGACAGACCAGAACCAGGTTACCACATGCTTTTATTCAGTGACTGATTACCTGATTTCGATCAGCTGTCTGGCCTCCGGCCGAGCCACTCCCTTCACTCCAGCAGCCGGCGCCCTACCACACCCCGCTGCCACATACCCCCACCGCCTGACTCAGGCCGGGATCCCGCCGGCCTCAATCTAACTCCCCCCTCCACCGAGCGAGAGAGGAAATCATCCACGACCATCCGGTTACCCGGCCTGTGGATCACATTGAAGTTGAAAGGCTGCAACGCCAGATACCACAGAGTGATCCGAGCGTTGGCATCCTTCATGCGGGGCATGGTCCGACCAGAGGGTGAAAGGGCGCCCCAGGAGGTAGTACCGCAGGGCGCCGACCGCCCACCGTATGGCGAGGCACTCCTTTTCCACCGTACTGTAGTTCACCTCCCTCTGGGCGAGCTTACGGCTAATGTACAGTACGGGGCGGTCGACCCCCTCTACGTGCTGGGACAAAACGGCCCCCACCCCACTGTTCGAGGCGTCGGTCTGCAACACAAAAGGGAGAGAGAAGTCAGGAGAATACAGAAGCGGCTTACCACAGAGGGCTTTTTTAACCCTCTCAAACGCCAGCTGACACCGCTCCGTCCACTGGACCGGATCTGAAGCACCCTTTCGGGTCAGGTCGGTCAGGGGACTGGTCAGCTCCGAAAAGGACGGGATGAACCGCCTGTAGTAGCCGGCCAGCCCCATGAACCTCCTGACCTCTTTTTTCGTCTTGGGCGCCAGACAGGCTGAAATGGCGGTTGTTTTCTCTATCTGTGGCCGCACCTGCCCGCCGCCCAAGTGGTACCCCAGATACCGTACCTCCCTCCGTCCAACCGCACACTTCTTCGGGTTGGCCGTGAGCCCCGCCTGCCTCAGGGACTCGAGCACCGCCCCCACCTGCTGCATATGCTGCTCCCATGTCTCACTGTGAATGATGACATCATCCAAGTAAGCAGCAGCATATGCAGAGTGGGGACGCAGCACCCGGTCCATGAGCCGCTGGAAGGTGGCTGGAGCTCCGAACAACCCGAAAGGAAGTGTGATGAATTGGTATAAACCATACGGAGTGGAGAAGGCCGTTTTTTCCTTAGACTCTGGAGAAAGGGGAATCTGCCAATAGCCTTTGGTTAAATCCAGCGTCGTGTAAAAGCGAGCAGTGCCTAGCCGATCCAGGAGTTCGTCGACCCGGGGCATTGGATAAGCATCAAATTTGGACACCTCGTTCACCCTGCGGTAGTCCACACAGAACCGGATTGACCCGTCGGACTTACGTACCAGCACGACGGGGCAACACCAGTCACTGGTGGACTCTTCTATCACTCCCATCTCTAGCATAGCCTGAAGCTCCGCCTGAACAATTTTCCTCCTGTGTTCAGGCAGCCGATAGGGCCGTGAACGAATGGCCACGCCCGGGGGCGTTTCTATGCGGTGGTGTATGAGAGAGGTGCGCCCTGGCAGCGTAGAGAACACGTCGGCAAACTGCCTTTGCAACGAAGCAACGTCTGCTCTCTGGCCCGGTGAGAGATTGTCGCCACAACAGACCGGGGCTACTTTGTTGCTTTTAATGACCTCCGGTCCCAACTCATCTCTCTCAATCACCGTGGTGGCCAGAGAAACCGACGCCACCTCCCTCCATGCTTTCAGGAGGTTAAGGTGGTAAATCTGTGTTGCTCCCCCCCTGTCAGAACGCACCACCTCATAATCTACGTCCCCCACTCGTCGTGTGACCACGAAGGGTCCTTGCCACTTGGCGAGTAGTTTAGAGCTAGAGCAGTGGTCGCCAACCAGTCGATCGCGATCGACCGGTCGCGAAAAAATACGTTTTTAGATGTAAAACTATCATCCACCACCCCGTTAGCAGGTGCCACTTGATTGACGTATATTTGAGACACCTCAATAATATAATACATTAACCGTGCTTTACGTGAACCTCATCATGACACAAGAGACGACGGCAGGACTGTAATTTCCCGTGTTCAGTGAACGCAACAGAGGCAAGACACCAGACCAA